CGTGGGAGTCCAGCGACATAGCCGTTACGCTAACTGCTGGTTCCCAGGTATCTCCTTTAATGATAACTTCCAGGTAGGAAAATAGAATTTTCTGATGGACTATTAACTAATACATTAACTTAAATCTTCTAAGTTACTTAGAAACTAACAAAAATAATTTTAAAAGATTGTATTAATTACTGATTGAAGTATGAAACTTAGGGCTGCCACTTTCTGTCTACTAGCTGCATGTTTTTTCCCCAAATCCTTTCATCTCTGTGAGTCTGAGGTTCCACATCTGCAATGTGCAGGTAACAGAATGTCTTGATCATAAAGGACTCAGTACAGGACCTAGCACAGGAAGTGCTTGTAAAGAGTCAAACAACAACTTCCGCCATCCCTGCATATGCTCTTTTCTAGCATCTCTGAACTTGGGATGTGGCTCACAACGGATGGCACATGGCTGGCACTGGCAGTTTTTCTTTTGTGGTGGCACATACCGAGTTGTCAGAAATCATGACGCATTCTTCTAGGCAAAAATATATCAAGACTTTTCCGATGACCCAATAAAATAGCGCTGCTACTAGAAGCAAATGGTGCCTACAATTCACTATCATCCTATCAGTTGAGGGAGAGCTACATTTCTCCTTTCAGTTCTGTCATTGTTTTGAATAACCAATTTGGGATTTAACACATGTCAAAGTCTGAGCAAAATATTTTCAGCATATTATAAACAGAACAGTTTTGAGACAAATCAATTTTTGTAAAAGATGGTTTTTCGATTCCATTTTTGTATGAAACACATGGGAGGAACCTAGCCAATCAACACACAACTGTCACCACATGAAAAGGTACTTTTATCAAACTTTGAGTCTAAGAACATACAAATGGTTCTTTTTATCATGTCTACAAGTAATTGTCTATGCTTTTCCATTTAACTGGTTTTTAAAATTCCACATATCCCCATTATTTCTTCTGTTACAGTACAAGGTGGGGGAGGAAGAGGGTTTGTTACAACAGTCTTCTAAGCTGTTTTCTGCTGTCCCTTCTTTCCAACCAGAGATTTGTGGATGTGAGGGATCACACCACCCCCAGCTATGGTTGCTTTGATGGGAGAATCCAATTCCTCATTACCACGGATTGCGAGCTGTAAGTGCCGTGGAGTGATGCGCTTCACTTTGAGATCCTTGGAAGCGTTACCTGCCAGCTCCAGTGCCTCGGCAGTGAGGTACTCCAGAATTGCAGCACTGTACACGGCAGCAGTGGCACCCACCCTTCCGTGGCTCATGGTGCGAGTCTTCAAGTGTCTGTGGATGCAGCCCACAGGAAACTGCAGCCCACAGGAAACTGCAGCCCAGCTGTCTAAGCGAGATGCTGCTTTAGCCTTGGCCTTCCCACTGTCTTTTACAATTTTGCCTCCAGCCATGATCTCGATGCCGACTCTGCCTCTCCTCAGCTGCACGCCCTCCCGCTGCCCTGCGCCACCACCTGTGCCACCACTGCTAAGTAATATAATTTTTCCTTTTCTGGTTTCGTTCCTCTGGATTTTACTATAACTTATATAATTATTACTCTTCATGGTTAAACATGCTAAGCCATGTCATAGAACTTCTTCCATTTTCCATTCCTCCCTTCTGCCATCTACTCTTACTTCTCCTTTATTAACATTCTTATACCTCTCCTCCTTTCTAACATTTAAGATTTTTTTTTTGGAGAGGTTTTTGCTATAGGGCGTGTGTACTCTCCAGAAAGACAGAGACAGAGAGACAGAAAGTGAGAAATCACCCCCTAGGGGGTGACCACACCACAGTCCCTTCTCCTCTGTTCTCCTCTTGGGATCTTGGGCATGCATGCACATGCGCCTGGCGTGAGTTTAAGCCACTAGGTCCAGGACTCGAACTGCAGTCGACTACATGGGATTCCAGTGATATAACCATTACTAACTGCTGGTCCCCCAGAGATATTCTTCACAGATCTAGAAAAGACAATCATAGAATTTGTCTGGAATCATAAAGGAGCCTGTATTACCAAGCAGTTCTGCAAAAGTAGAGTGGAGTAGGACACATCTCACTCCCTGACCCCAAAATATATTATAAAATAATAATCAAAACAGCATGGTATTACCCCCAAAACAGACATGTGGACCAGTGGAATAGAATAGAGACCCAGAAATAAATCCCAAAACATACAGCCAACTGATTTTTGACAAAGATACCAGTCAGTCCAGTGGGAAAAAGAAAATCTGTTTAGGAAATTGCATTGGGAGAACTGAGTATCCACCTGCAGAAAGATGAACCTGGACCCCTATATCTCACCATTAACAAAAATCAACTCAAAGTGGATCAAAGATCTAAACCTAGGTGAACTATAAAGCTACTGGTAGAAAGCACTAGGGAAAATCTGGGAGACATTGGGTAGGCAAAGACTTCTTAAATAAGACTATCAAAGCAGAGGCAATAAAACAAAAATAGACAAGTGGGATTACATCAGATTAAGAAGTTTCTGCACAGCAAAAGACACACTAATTAGTGTGAATCGACAACCCTCAGAATGAGAGAATATTTTTGTAACCTCTGCCTCAGATAAGAGACTGATAACCAGAATACACAGAGAACTCAAGCAGCTTACACCCCCAAAAAACAACAATCAACCCAATTAAAACATGGGAAAGTGAACTGAACAAACAACTCTAAGGAAGACAGACAAATGGCCAAAAAGCATATGGAACAATGCTCAACATCCCTCATTATAAGGAGAATGCAGATCAAAACCACGAGATACCACCTGAACCCAGTCAGAATGGCAAAGATTAAAAAAACAATAAATAAGAGATACTGACGAGGCTGTGGTGAAAGGGGAACTCTCCTTCACTGTTGGTGGGAATATACATTTGTTCAGCTACTGTGGAGAACATTATGGAGATTCCTGAAAGATCTACATAGAGAACTACCATATGATCCAGCAATCTTTTGGGACTGGGTATCTACCCAAAGGACAGAAGAACGCTCAGTCAGAAAAGTGCTTGCACATCCATGTTTATTGTGGCATTATTCACAATTGCTAAAACATGGAATCAACCCACATGCCTATGAACAGATGAATGGATTGAAAAACTGTGGTACATATACTCTGTGGAATACTACTCAGCCATAACTAACAAGTTTGATGGAAAGTGGACAAATATAGAAGATTTACTGCTGAGTGAAGCAAATCGGGCTATGAAACAGAGACATCATATGTCTCCACTTAACATATACTGACTGTCCACACTGGATGGCGGAAACTGAAAGACTAGAGACTCTAGAAGCATGGAAAATGGTGAGGGATAATGAAGACAGTGGGAGAAGAGAGTGGGAGAAGGGGTGAAGAGTATGAGGAAAGAAATTAAGGAGAAAAATCGAGAGGCAAGACATTTATGGGACACAGAAATGGATTATTATCTGTTGACGATAATCTGTATAGTATCCTGAACTGGACTGGTGTGAAGTATATTCATGTTGGGTAAATTCTCTTTACAAGCTAAATGATCCCCTTGGGATATATTTTTTTAGATATTTTTGTTATAGGGCATGTGCACTCACCAGAGAGACAAAGACAGAGACACAGAAAGTGAGAAATCACCCTCTAGGGCGATGACCACGCCACAGTCCCTTCTCTTCCATTCTCCTCTTGAGATTTTTGGCATGCATGCACACGTGCCTGGCATTGAGTTTCAAGCTGCTGGGTCTGGGACTTGAACCACCGTTGACTATGTAGAAATCCAGTGACGTAACCATCTGCTGTTCCCCTCCCCTTGGGATTTTGGGCATATACGGACATGTACCCAATATGGTTTTTCAAGCCACTAGATCTGGGGCTTGAAATGTGCAGTCGGCCATGTGGGATCCACCTGCCTGAACCCCTATACACTGGCTGGCCTGAGTTTTGACTATAATTATGAATTATTGGTGTAGCTGATAAGCTATATCTATATCTGGTGAAATGATCATTTTTATGTATTTTGTTAGTATATTGAATTATACTGATTGGATAATGAATTTTAAGTGCTATTGTAAAAATAAAATAAAATCAAAGGCTCCAGACAAAACCACTGTGGTCATGCTGGACTGTCCTTTTATATGTCACTCAATTTTATTTGTGAATATTTTTTATTTAGATATTTATATCTAAGTTCATACGAAAGAATTTTCTGTGACTTTCTCATTTTATGGTTTCCTTATCAGATTTTGGTATCCATTTTTCCTGTCTTGATAAGACATGTTGGGGTATTCCCTCTTTTTCTGGTCTTAAGAGAAATTCTGGGGGCCAGCAGGTGGTGTAGTGATTAAGGCACTGGACACTCCCACATGGCTGACCACAGTTCGAATCCTAGACCTGGTGGCTTGCTTTCTCACTTTCCCTCTTTCTCTCTCTGGTCAAATTAAAATAAATGAATAAATACAATTAAATAATTCTTATTTATGTATTTTAAAGGAGAAAGTCCATATAAATTTGGAGTGTGCATGTGTTCTATAGCTCAAGTGTTTAGAAGAAATCACTAATCATGCTTTCTGAACTGGAGTTTATGTTGTGAAAAATTTTTGATTATAGCATCAATATATTTAATAAATATAATTTGGTTTGGATTTTCTATTAATTAAATTTTCAATATTTTAAATTTGACCAGTGAGAGAGAGGGAAAGTGAGAAGGGAAGCCACCAAGTCTGGGGCTCAAACCATGGTCAGCCATGTGGGAGTCCAGCACCCTAACCATTACGCCACCTGCCAGCCCCTAATTTAGTAAGTGGCATATTCGACAATTTTGTTTATTTTATCTACATTTTTAATATAGTGGTGTAACGTGGGTCATAACTGTTCTGTTCTCTTTTTGAGGTGTGTAGGATCTGTAGTGCTGCCTCCTATCTCATTCTTCTGTGGAAATGTATGTCTGCTCCCCTTTTTTCCTTAGTCTATGTGGCAATAATTTGTAAATGTGATTGTTTTTCACATGTGAGCTTTTTAAAATTTTCTCTACTTATTTTCTCTGCAATAGCTACACTTACAATTTCTTTCCTTTTCCTTTTTTTAATTTGGGGGTGGTTTTTGCTATAGGGTGTGCTTTCCAGACAGATAGAGAGAGACAGAGAGACAGAAAGTGAGAAATCACTCTCCAGTGGGGAGGGCCACGTCGCAATCCCTTCTCTTCCATTCTCCTCTTGGGATCTTGAGCACGAACACACATGCACCTGGCGTGAGTTTTAAGCCACCGGGTCCAGGACTTGAACCGCAGTAGACTAAATGGGAGTTCAGCGACATTATGCTAACTGCTGATCACCTTTTTTTAAAGAGAGATTTTTGGGGACCAGCAGTTAGCATAATGACTATGTCGCTGGACTCCCAC